ACTGAAAGGATGGGGGTACCTTCTTCAATAGAAAGAAGGAAGTTGGAAAGGAAGGAAGGAAGATGAGTATGAAGGGGGAAGCAGTAAGAATATTGAGTTCTGTTTTGGACATACTGAGTTTGAGTTGCTTTGGGGACACCCAGTCTGGAATATCCAACAGACAGCTGGAGACACACAAATGGAGCTCTCAGAAGAGAGACCAGGACTAAATAAGTTTGAAAGTCTTCTGCACAGATTAAACCCACTAGAGTTGATGTCACCAAATGAGTGTAGTAAGTACATCCACAGTTAGCGGACAAGATACGGATAATGAATCAGCAAAGGAGCCTGAAAAGAAAGGATCAGACAGGTAGAAGAAATAAGAGAAAGTAGTATCACAAAAATCCAGGAGGAGGGGATGGTCAATACTGTCAAATACAGTAGAGGTCAAGGACGAGAATTGAGAAAAGGCCAATTGATTTAGCGATAATGTGGTCGCTGATAATTTCAGTGAAAGCAGTTTCATTTTAAGTGATGAGATGGGAAGCTAGACAGCAAAGGGCTAAGAAATAATAAGAAAAGAAATGGAGGCAATGGATGTAGAATTTTTTTTCTGTAAGTTTGGTCCTAAAAAGGAGGATAAATATAGCTTGAGAGGGTGGTGGGATCTAATGAAAGTTTTTTTCAGGATAAGAAAGACTTGAGCAGGTTTGTAGGCAAGAGAGAAGGAATCGAAAGACAGGAAGTTTGTAGTGATAGAGACGATAAGGGAATAGGAGCAAGGGCTTGTGCGGATGAGTTTTCCTTGATGCAAATGGTCAGTTTTTCATTGAAATAAACCAAGAGAATGGGGTGGGGGTGGAGGTGGGGGGGCGAGATGTCAAGGGAAGAAGATTAAACTCAGGCCAAATGATCTGTAGAGGAGAAGACTAAGAGGAGAGGGGGGCATGATAGCACCACTGTCTTCTGGTATTCTAAAGGCTAGAAGAGATATTAGACTTGTTCTGTTTAGTTCTGGAGGACAGAACCAGGAGCAGTGGGTAGAAGTTACAAAGAAGCAAATTTAGGCATAATGTCAGGAGAAACTTTCTAAAAATTAAGAGCTGCAGCAACACAATGATTCAAGACAATATTAAATAAGAAAAAAAATGAAAGGCTGTTTAAAAGAAGAATGGCCTGGCTATTAGATGAGGAGTTCTGCCTCCTTGGAAATCTTCAAGCGGAGGCTGGGTGAAACCTTATCAAGTACATTACAATGGGGCTGCTGAGGCCTCTTCCAGCTCTCAACCTCTGTCATCTCCTTACGCATAGATTTATTTAGTCATATCACTCCTCTGTTCAAAATATTCCAATGGTTCCCTACAGTCTATCGAGTAAAAGTCAAATTCCTTACCCTGGCATGCATGTCCCTATACAATCTGATGTCAACTTACCTTCCCAGCCTTATCTCACATGTAGCCCTGCATATGATCTATACTGCAGAGCACCTGGACCTAATGGTTGTCTCTCCTATATAACTCATGCTCTTCTTCCCCGTGCCCGAAATGCCCTCCCTTCCCAAAACACAGACCCTACTGAATGCCTACCCATCAGTTCAAGCATCACATTCTTTGTCAGCTGCTGCTGGTCAGGATAATTATCACATAGAAGTATAAATACATTATTGCCTTTCATCTTTTTCTAAGACCTTCAGATAGAAATGTTCTAAGAGAAGCTGCTATCCAACTACTGGTGCCTTTTTGTTCAGTGTCCTGTGGACTATTGCACAGACTGATAAAATGACTGCAATGGTAACTGAATGAATATACTAGAATGTGAACTCTCCTTCTGTAGGCTCGCTCACAGAATCTGAGACAACTTAAGTACCCGTTCTGTTCTCATGTAGTTTTGATTTCTTCTCATAGGTCTCTAAATTGGGAAAGCTTTTCATTGAAAATAACCTAGGCTTGATGTATCCGGCATTTCTATTTCTATTATTAGGGACAGGGAACTGGACCTGTGCCTTCACTGGGAAAGAGGAAACTCCCTTACCCAATGCACGTCAGCCTTTTCTCTTCAACTTAAAGTCTTAGAGAGTTACCTGAAACAGAGAAAAATTAAACGACATGCCCAGGGTCACAAAGTCAGTATGTGTCAGAGATGGGACTCCTATTATCATCACCAAAAGAACAAAATGAAAAGAATATTGATCTATGAAGTATAGTTGAAAAATGAAGCAAAATTGTTTGCCAAAAATGCAGGGCACTGAAAAACTCATTCTCACCCCGTGAGTTAGGCAGGTTTTTTTTCTTTTTTTTATCTAGGTAAAAACAGCATCATGCAGAGTGTGTCAAATGCATTACTCATGGTCACAGTGAGTCAGTCATTGGACTTGGAAAGCTCTCATACTATAGTGATTGATGATACTGCAGGGTTCAAGGAAGTTTTACTAGTCATCTTGCTCTACTCAATTGCAGGGGCAGGAGTCCTTCTAGAAGATCTGATATATAGGCTTTCCGTCATCCCGCCCCGCCCCAGAGAGTAATGACCTTTTCCTTCACTGGATCTCTCCTAACACATTTTTGGCACCTCTCAAGCACTTGCTTTGTGTCACAGCTATTTGTGTAAGTATCTTATTTCCCAACATAAGCTGTATGAGGTCAGGGGACCTTTCTCAGTCTCTTTTGCTGTATGATCATCTATCTCACACATACACCCACCTCTGAATGTATCTCATGCTCTGTCCAGAACCCACTTCTCTCTCTACATTCTGTCTCAGTGACTTCATTAGGTCCCACAGGTATAATCACCATTTCTTTGCATATGACTCCCAGATCCTGGAGACACAGCATGGTGTAATGGAAGACAAAAATTTGAGTTTGAATCCTGCCCCAGACACTTACTAGCTGTGTGGCCCTGGGCAAGGCAGGTAACTGCTCTGGGTCTCAGTTTCCTCATCTGTAAAATGAGCTGGTTGAACTTAATGGCCTTTGAAAACCCTGCAAGCTCTAAATCTACGATCCAGGGATGTATACATCTAGTGCTACTCTCCTGAGCACCAGTCCGACAACACAAAAAGCCCAATGGATATTTCCAACTGGATCTGTCATCAGCATCAAACTCAGTATGTCTGCAACACAACTCATTCTCTTTCCCTCCAAACAAATCCCTCTTCCAGACTTCTCTATTTCTATCAAGGTTACTTCCCATTATGAACTCAGGTTTGTAACCTCAGAGGCATCTTTCATTTTCTGCCCTCTCTCCTCCCTCATATTCAATCCACGGCTAAGTCTTGTCAATTCTACCTCTATAGTATCTCTCAAATCCATCTCTATTTCCATTCCAAGAGTCAGCACCCTAGTTCAGACTCACATCACCTTTCATCTGGACTATTGTAAGAATTCTTAATTGGTCTCCCTTCCTTAAGTCCTTCCTCCCTCCAATCTATCCTACACACTGCTGCCAAAGTGATTCTTTTTTTCTCACTAAAATTTTCCTTATTATTAAGACTTGGCAAGCATGAAACATGAACATTTTCCTATACAAAGAAGAACAGAAAAATATCATCTAGTAATATGAGACTAGGAATCTTCACTATGTATAGCTTGAATTTTTAAAGTTTTTTTTTTTAAATTTTAGTTCTATAATTAGCTTTGGCTTGACTGCATCCCCTTTTAAAATTTCTTCTTCTCTCTTATTTATTTTATTACATTAATATTAGTAAGAATATAATATTATCTCCCACCTCTGTATCTTTGCACTAGCCTAGGATGCTTTCCCTCCTATAAAAATCCCTAGTTTCCTTCTATAGTCAGCTTGGGCTTGACCACCCTCCAGCGGCTAAGTGCTTTCTTCACCAAGAGTCCTACACACAGACACACACATGCATGTATATGCATATACATATTTTGTATGTACTATTATATCTATATGGTGAAAATGAGAAAATGTAGGCTTCCTGAGGGTAGAAACAGTTTCATTTTTCATTTTTGAATTTCCAGCACCTGACACAATATCTGACACAAAGTACTTAATAAATATTTGTTGATTGTATCTTAGCTAAACCTTGGATTTCCCTCAGTATCTGCGCACACTGTAGGAATATGAAATTTTGTGAACTGAATTAGGCAGCACAGGGTAATTAAAAGAGAGAGGAATGTAGTCACAGGCTCTGAGTTCAAATATTGATTCTGAGTGACATGGAACAAGTCACTAAACCTCTATGGGTCCCATTTTCCTGGTGGGTAAATGAGGAGCTTGAATCAGATAACCTCTAAAATCTCTTCCAGCTCTTGGCCTATAAGCCTAGGATTGCTTCACAGCAGCACAAATTTATGGCTTATAGGGTAGTATTCCAAGAATATCAGTATTTCTTGATGCCAAAACTGCACATGCTAGGACTTTCACACATCTAGGAAGTTTGCATGGAAAACCTGCCCACAGGTTATTGGACCTTCCAGAAAAGACTTCTGCTGCTGTAACTGAGTTGAACAAGATCACTAATAAAACTTCCTTAAATCTTCAAGTGTTAGAGCTATGAGTCACTAACTAAAGGTGCCCAGGTGAGTGAATGACAATGTATGACTGTGATCACACAAGGCCATTCAGACACTCAGGACTAAATTGTTTCCACCAAGAAAGAAAAAAAAAAAAAGGCCAACTTCTTGTCAGAGTTACCTACCTCAAGGATGAGGATAAGTTAGGCACTCACAAGAGTGTCTTTAAAAGCCCTCAAGTTTAGAGGGATAATATTGTCTCATTTCTCAACCAAGTTCGATAAATACTGGTTGTCTTTTTACCTTCTTCTTCAGGTAATAGTTAAATAATCATACAGCACATAAACTGACATTTCAGATAGACTGCATAGTTTACAAAAGTACATTATATACACAGTCTTGTAACATGGTAGGGTTAATAAACTTGTCTTCTTATCTCCAGAGCTCATTGGAACACTACCACTTTAAATGATGCTCACCTGTCGCAAGGATGCTGGAATCACAATCACTTGCTTCTTAAGTAAAAGATCAGTTAAGAATTCTCACCTTCAGAATTTCCGGTTCTTTGATATCCAGAGATTCTGTATTCCAGTGTTTTAGGCTTGTATGTAGCCTGTGATATTTATGAGCACTTGACGGTGTAAAAAACCAAATCACACAGACCGCAATCATAAATCCGAGACCAAATCCCAAGCAGAGTCCACTCACATAACTGGGAAGAGGGAGTATAAGGTACGCATAGACTAACAAAATAAGGAAGTATAGTGTCTTCGTTGGTAGTTTAGGCTGCTGCATGTACAAATTCATTTCATGTTCACTGTCAAGTACGGTATTATTTTCCTCAAGCATCCCTGGCTTGAGAGAAATGTCTAGGGGCTTATCAATTTTATTTTCTTCTTCAGCATCCAGGTCAAAGTCCTCAGCATACAGCTCACAAAACTCTTCGTCTTCTTTGCTGACTAAGGCTGACAAAGAACATTTTTCAAGTACCGATGAGGCAGTCTTTGCACTTGCATCCTTGACACTGCTGACTTGAGAGCCCTGTAGTTCCACCTCCTTTACCAATTCTTCAGCGGGCTTAGGGAACTCACTCCTACTAACATTGGAGTCACTTCCATCACAGTCACCCTCCCAGTCACATTCCTCTTCTTTGATGCTGTAGTTGTTATTGCTTTCCAAGGGGCCATTCAAGCTGGAAAGATTGGAGAGCTCTGAAGCACTTGAAGATAAGGCTTTGGGCCTGTGGCTACTACTTTCCTCCCCAATAATTTTGCTAAGGAGCTGAAAAGGCTCATAGATGACTTCAGAAAGGCGCCGTTTAGTATCTTCAATTTTAGCTTCCATTTCGGGCACTTTAAAAAAGGATCTAGTATCCGAGGGAGAAGTCAGTGGGGAAGAAGGAGCCGTCTTGGAATCTCCCCCTGTGTTTCGTGGCTGAGTAAACTGCTTGAAGAGGTGTAAATTCAGTTTGGAGTCAGGTGGCTTATAGGAGAGAGTGTCCAGTTCCTGCTTGGAAGTATCTGTGGACAGAGACTTGACTAGAGTTTTCATCAAGTGCCGGTGCCTGGGGGGGTGTGGGGATTCTTTTGGCTCCACCTCTGTCGAGAGGGACTTGACAAGGCTCATGAAGGGTTTTGCACTAGAAAGGGTGGAGGAAGAGGCACTGGATGACAGAACAGGAGACTTGGAAGGAGAGGACAATGGAGAGGAGGAACTGGTTTTCTGCTCTGATAGAGATGACACACTGGGTGAGCTCACTATGAGGCCTGATAGAGAAGATGCTGGGGACAGAGAGGATTCCAATGATTTTAGAGCACTCTCAGCGACGGGCAAAACAGGAGAAGGGGAGGACACAGACTGTACAACTGCCATGACAGGTGAGGTAGCAGGGCCAGCAAAGTCATGGTGCCCCCGTTCAAAGAACAAGTCTTCCTTGGCTTCAAGAGCAGTTACAATGCTTTGGTCGTCAAACTCTTCATCAGGAGGTTCCCTGAAATCCTCCTCCTCCTCTTTTTCTTCCTTCCCAGATGCTGAGAAGTGAATGGTGATGGTATCTCGTGAAAGTGATCTTTGGACCTGTACTTTGGGGGCTGATGATGGTTTTGGCATATCATTAGTTTTCTCTGCATGGCTACTATTCAGACTTGTCATTGCCGTCTGTGCTCACTGCCCTCACACAGTTTCAGGCTCTGTGAAGAGAACATTAGGAGAAAGAGAAATCAAAAGGCAAATTTCTCATTAAGAGACATTGACATTTACAGACACAAACCACTCAAATGGCAATTACACTTTTACTTTGGCAAGCATTCACTATTCCTAACTTCCTGCAATTCCATGAATTAACTATAATTTGTTTAGTGAAAACTAAATCATTTGTTATCAATCAAGTCAAACATTATTAAGAACTTTACCATCCTTATTCTTGCCATGACAGCTAAGCTTTTTTTTTGTTTCCCCTCTTTTCTATGGCTTGTTCATATTAATGATTCCATCTTTCAGGGTTTAGTATACTAGCAAGCTGGACATCATCACTGCTATCAATACATAAATCCAACAGGATAAAATTGGGTCATGAAGAATCCTGAAATGTCATATTTCACCAGTGGTTTTCTATCTAAAGAAACTAACCAGACTCAGGAAGGCTATTACCTCAAGTGAACTTTTCAAAGTGATATTTATAATCATTTGTCTTTCATCCCCAGATGCTTATAAAATCTTGTCATAAAACAAGAACGAGCAAGAAAGTTTCTAAGTATATAAAGACTTCAAGTATATATGGGTTTAATTTTTTTAATATGCTAATTAAGAAGCCAAAATGCTTCAGCAGGCATAAATAGCACACGGATCCATGTCCTAAAGAGAACTAAGGCAAAGTCAAATGACTGTAAATGAGTTTAAAATTTGACAAATGAAGGAACACATAAATTATGGTACCACAGTTATACTCAACCACTTGAGTCTTAGTTCCCAAAATGTACCCATCAGTACTGTGAGTGAGACAAGAGAAAGCAGCTTCAGTGTTGCATGGAAAGAAAAATGTAGCTAGAGTCATAGGACTTGGATTCGAATTCTCATTCTGCCACTTATTGTGTGACCTTAGGCAAATGACTTCACCTGTTTGTGACTATTTCTTCACCTGTAAAGTGAAAGGGTTGGATCAGAAGGGCCCTGAAGGCCCTGTACAATATCAAATCCTATGACAAACGTAAGACAAGGTGCCTACCTTCTAGGAACTTACAATGTTGTTATGGACATAAAACACACACGTGCAAAGTTATAAACAAACCTAAGCTGCAATACAAAAAATGTTGTAAGACATTCTGTAACATCTTGCTCAACTCTATCATTAATAAATGAAAAGATTCAGTGCCAAATGACTGGTAGGAAGTGCCCTAGAAACAGATATCAGAGTGGGTTGAGACGCTCAGAGAAAGCCCCACGAAGATGGAATGACTTGGGCTGGGCAATCAAGAATGTTGGGCAGGATTTGGATAGGCAGAGAGGCCCAAGGAAGGCATTGAATCAGACAGGAAAGGTGTGGCTGAGGCAGGAACTAAACATGGTATATTCAGAGGGCAGGAAAAAGACCAGACTGGATAGAAAGCAGAGTCTGTGTTCAGGAGCAGTGGGAGCTGAGTTTGGTAATATCACAGTAGTGTAATTCAAATTGTTTCCTAGAATGGTAGGACTGCTGAATAGCTACACCAACATTCTATGTGCCTAGCACATAGCAGTAATACGTAATAATAAATTAATAGTAATATGCTTAATAAGCACTTGCTGACTGCCATTGGTGTTCTCACAGATCCATCACTTATCATTCTTGTCTTTTGTCGTCTTTACCAATATGAATGGTATGAGATGAAATCTTAGAGGTGTTATAATCTGTGTTTCTCTTATGGGTGATTGAGAGCATTCTTTCACATGGCTATTAATAGCTGCTTGTTTGCATCCTTTATCTATTGATCCACTGAGGAGTGACTCTTACTCACACAAACTTTTTATCAGTTCCCTATACATCTTGGATAGTTGACCTTTTTCAGAGACATTTGCTGCAAAGATTTTTAACCCAATTTACTGTTTCTCTTTGAAATCTAGCTACAATGATTTTATTAATACAAAAGCATTTCAATTTTATGTTACAACAAACCCAGAAATGATCCTTCCTTGAATGATTACACTCATTTTTTTTTTCTAACTCTATAAAGTAACCTTTTAGCAGTCTTAATGGCATGGTACTGAATAAGTAAATTAATTTAGGTAGTATTGTCATTGGTAGTATACTGGTTTAGTCTACCAATGTGAAGATGTCTCAATTTCTGTAACGAATGTTTTGTGATGGTGTTTATGTATTTCCTTTGTATGTCTTGGCAAGTAGAAACCTAAGCATTTTATATTTTCTGTAGTTATTGTAAAGTGGAATTTCTCTATTATCTTCCTGCTGGATTTTGTTAGTAATTACAGAAATGTTAATGATTTATGTGGGCTTTACTTTGTATCCTACAACTTTGCTGAATTGTTTCAATTAGTTTTTAGTAGACTCTCTAGGGTTCCCTAAGTAAATCATCATATCATCTGCAAAAAGTGACAATTTTACTTCTTTGTCCAGGCTTATTTCCCTCAATTTTGTGGCCTTATTGTTATAGCTAGCATCTCTAATGCTATTTTGAATACTAATGATGAGAATGGATATCCCTGCTTTTACCCATGAACTTAATTAGAAAAGCCTCTAGTTTATCCCCATGACATATAAAGCTGACTCTTTGGTTTCAATTAGATACCACTAGTCATAGTTCAGAAAGATCCATTTATTCCCATGCTTTCTAGTATTTTAAACAGGAATGAATGTTGAATCTTATCAAAAGCTTTTTTTGCATCTATTGACATAATCACGTGATGTTGTTACTTTTGTTACTAACATGGCCAATTTTTGTTTTACTAATATTAAACCAGCCTTGTATTCCAATCTAGTTTTAGTAGGTAATCTTTCTGAGAGGTTGCCATACTCTTGCTAATATTTTATTTAAAATTTGTATCAGTAGTCTTTAGGGATATTAAGTCTATAGGTTCTTTCTCTGTTTTGACTCTCCCTAGGTTAAACAAGACCATATTTGCATCATGGAAGGAATTTGGTAGGACTTATTTTATTTTTTTTTAAGTTTGTGTAATATTTAAATTAAATGTTCTTTAGGTGTCTGATAGAATTCTCTTGTAAATTCATCTAGTCCTGAAGTTTTTTCTTTGAAATTTCATTTATGGTTTGTTCAATTTATTTTTCTAAGATTGAGTTGAGTTTTCTTTTCTCGTTCTTTTAATCTGTACATTTAGATTCTTGTAAGTATTTATCCATTTCATTTAGACTGTCAGTTTTACCGGCATATAACTGAGCAAAAAAAAATTCCTAATAATTTCTTTTATTTCTGTTTCATTGGCTGAGTTCATCTTTTTCTTTTTGTACATTGGTAATTTGGCTTTTTTTTTTTAATCAAATGAGTGAATGGTTTTCCTCAGTTTTATTTAAGTCAATGGTTTTTTTTTGCTTTCAATTCTGCTAATTTCTTCCTTCATTTTAAGGATTTCTTTTGGTGTTTAATTGGGAGTTCTTACTTAAAAATAACTTTTCTGGGCTAGTGTTTTTGTTTTTTAGTTCCACAACCAATGCATTAATCAGCTCTCTGTCTTTCACTAAAGAAAGTTTTTGAGACACATTTAAGTGTCGAGGGACTACTTTGGCTGCCTCTCAAAAATTTGGTATGTCTCATTGTCATCAATTGTTTGTATGATTTGTTCTATGGACCCACTGATATATTGTTTTCTTTTTTTCCCCCTCTAAGTTATACAAGCTGTGTTTGCTTTGTATAAAGTACACAAACATGTAATTAGCTTGTGAACAAGCCATGAGTGGGGACCTAAGGTAAAGGCTTTGTGATAATCAATAAAGGCAGTATAAATGTTATGGCTTTCTCAGGAGGTTTAGTATCAAATCAATTAGGTCATCTTTCCACTTCTGAAACTTTTAACACGTCCTTTTTGCTCCTCAGCCAGCATATTGTTTTGTTGGATATACAGTTATATAAGCTATGAATGCTTTGTATAAAATACATAGATATGTAATTGGTCTCTATCTGCAGGGGTCACTGGTTTTCTCTTTTGGTAATAGATGTGATGTCTTCTGTTAAGAAAGATGGGCTCTCGGGGCAGCTAGGTGGCACAGTGAATAGAGCTCTGGCCTTGGAGTCAGGAGGACCTGAATTCAAATCTAGTCTCAGACAGTTAACACTTACTAGCCGTGTGACCTTGGGCAAGTCACTTAACCCTGATCGCCTCCGCAAAAAAAAAAAAAAGAAAGAAAGATTGGTTCTCCCTATATATACCAAAACATTTATAACAGGACTTTTTCATGATAGCAAAAAAATCGGAAACAAAGTAGATGTTGATTGGGGAATGGCTAGGTAAATTGCCATAAATTAATGTAATGGAATATTACTGTGCTATAAGATATGATATGTGGAATGAAAACACAGAGAAGCATGGAAAGATTTACAGGAACTTCAGGAACTGAAGTAAGCAGGGCAGAGAAAACAGTATACCTAATAACTTCAACAACATAAATGGACAAAATAAGCACCCACCACAAAATGAAAAGTGATTGTAACAAAATTACATAGATCAAGCATGGCACAAATCAAGAGATATGAGAGGATACCCCGAAACCACTCCTTCCTGAAAGTGAAAGGTCCACAGATGCTATACATTGCACAGGTTTTCAGACTTTTTTATTGCTCAATTGTACTGATTTTACCCCCTCTTTAAAAATACTATTTGTTATATGGGGTGGCTCTCTGGGAGGGAAAGTGGATGAACACTGGAGATAACTATGATAAAAGAAACAGAAGACATCAATAAACACATATAAAACTTTAAAATATGACAGAGAATGCCTAAAACAAACTGTAGTACACAAATGTAATACAATATTGTGTTGTAAGAAATGACTAAGCATGTAAAGACTCATCAGAACTGAACTGATGTAGAATTAAGTAAACTGAGTCAAGAAAACAATACACACAATGACAAGAATGTAAATGGAAAGAACCATCAAAAAAAAAAAAAGTGTTAGCAGCAAAATTACAAAGAACTGGTATGGGTCCAAAAGGCATAGGAGAAGCAACTCCCATCCCACTCCTTG